ACCGAAAGGACTGGGGATACTCTATGGAAACCAGCAATTACTTGAGCCCAAAAGTGAGCATGCGCCCTGAGGAATCCGAGCTCTTGCTTCCTCGTGTGCTGTTTTGTCTGCTCGTCAAGTGTTTGCAAAGGGAAGGAAAATAGAAGTCTTAGAGATGAAAAATTTTAAGTTGACATTTACAAGTAAATTCTTAAGTTTTAAAAGTCAGAATATACTTATGGAAGATTTATAAGGAAAGTTCTTTAAACTTCCAGTAACTACAGTAGCCTTTGTTTTGAGCTCATAAAGCTGTGCCTTATGTAAATGGAAAACGAGCTGAAAATGTCAGGTAGAGCCTCGTTCTCAAGTATTCGAAGTTAGTGCAAGTTTATAAGTAGTACGAAACATTGAATTTAATAAATCAAATATTTATCAGTAGTTCCTAGTTTCTCAAATTCTAATAGAATTTTATGAATTACTTAGGGTTTGTTAGTAAAAATTAGCCAGAATGATTTATATTGGTGCTGGGAAGTCTTTCCTAGCATAACCTTATAATAATGCCAAAATGAATGCCATTATCAACTTTGTTACACACACGGTTTTAAAGGTGCATTTACTCAAGTGATTTTACAATCTTTAGAATTAATGCAGTCATAGTCCAAGGGAGATGAAAATATTTAGTATAGTGTGTATAGATATTGAATGTGAATATTACTCCTATGCAGTTACATAAAGTTCCATCTGGTGTTATCTCAGAAACTGAATATTTGATGTTTCTTCTTAAAAAAATTGTTTTAGTAAATTTCATAGTCTCAGCCCTGTGCTATTTGGCCATTTACTAAAGGTTGCTGTGCAAGATTAAGCTGTGAGTAATCCGTGTGTGTGTGTGTGTGTGTGTGTGTGTGTGTGTACACATGCCCTTTATTCACCTGTGTTATAGAAGTGACACTGGGAAATTGTTCCTTGACGACATGAGTCCAAAATGGTGCCCTATATTTCATAGATCCTGTGGGATCCTATAAAACCATGTAACTTTCTGTAAGACTTTCAGTTTGTAAAGATGCTGAATGATCTCTGATTGTGAAATACAGATATCACATCACTTCAGCGTAAGATGGCTTTTTTTTCTACCCCTAGGTCAATCATTAGTGACACTCTGGTGTCCATGCTGGATATGCCTAATCATTTTATATAAATATCTAAAGCTCCAAATATAGTGCCTTTAATGTATTAGATCCACATTGGGGTGCTAAAGTGTGTCCTTGGATTGAGAGGAGTTGGGCATATCTGGAAGCTGATAGAGCATAATTGGTCTCAGAGGGATTAAGATAGGGGGTGATAAAGAAACAGGACCAATAGAATTAGTCTTTATTGTCCTATTGAGAATAGCGGTGGTGACCTAAAGCGATAATACACAAAGAACCTGACTGTTATTACCCCTGCGTGGCTAAACTTGACGTGTAATTGGGTTAGCACCCTGAGAACAATGACTCTTGACACTCTCTTTAATATTCCTGGTTTTAGGCTACATACTTTGATATCTCTTTGGAAATACCTAGATCAAAATATATTAATGGTTTATGTACTGAATTGGAAAACATTAACTTTATAACTCTCTACAGATATTATATAGAATTATTTCCTTAGTTTCGATTCATTTAACTGTTTCTGTGTTCCTTTTTAAATATCTCGGATGCCCATAAATGTAGCAGTTTTCTCTAGCTCTGTACAGGCTCTTACCTGGACAGGCCTTTCTGGCAAACTGTATTAAAAACAATAACATATGACCTTAAAACAAAAGTAGACATGAGAAAAGTAAGCTTTCTGTGATTGAAAAAGCACCTTTTGGCTTATATTATCTCTTCTTGTTTTTGTCAAGGTTATAGATTAAATACTGATCTTTAAAGTAATAACTGGATAGGTCTTGGTTCAACACACACATGTAAGCCAACAAATGCCTAGTGGTCTTAGAAATGAAAACTTAAACAAAAAAAAAAGAATAGAGGTAGCAATCTTGACTTCGTTTTCTTGCCATTTTCTTTTAGCGTGGTTAAAAATATAGTAGTTACTGTCATTGGAAAGCATTGGATGGTTGTTAAAGAATTTCAGAATAACTTGCTTTCTTCCAGAGAGCTAGAGAAACGTTTTTAAAAGATAGTACTAAGGGAGTGTGCCTTTAATCCCAGCACTCAGGTGGCAGAAATTGGAAAATTGCTTCAAGCTAGTGGACAGCCAAGTCTATGTAGCTCTTCTTAAAAGCACATACATACATAAACACTGAGTAAGGTCTTGCATATAATCATCTTATTCTGATCTTTAATGTCTGATTTTATTTAATGTCTGACTTTGAGAGAACACTCAGTGTCACTTTTTATTTTTATGAGGATATTATATAAGGACTTCCATACCCCTTTCTTTGGATTTTTTTTTTAAATGAGGCCTTTAAGGTTCCAACTCCAGTCTTCCCAGTGTGAGGATCACAGGTCTTGTGCCTCTTAGGCAAGTGTTCTCTCCAGCCCACTGTGTTTAAGTTTATAATCTAATGACAAGAGTGCTCTAAGTTGAATCCAAGTACCTTTTGTTTGGAGGACGATCCTGCTAGTTTCATGGTTGGGTCATTTTTTAAAAAGAATACTGCACCAGGCAATGGTGGCACATGCCTTTAATCCCAGAACTTGGGAGGCAGGTAGATTTCTGAGTTCGAGGCCAGCCTGGTCTACAGAGTGAGTTCCAGGACAGCCAGGGCTACACAGAGAAACCCTGTCTCTAAAAGAAAAAAGGGGGGAGGGGAAGAATACTGTAGTTGCAATTAAAACTGTCACACTGAGTCATAATATTCATATGAACACATTTGTGTCAACACTTAAGAGTGTCTTTAGTATAAAGCCATTCTGATTTCCTCATCAGTTTCTGACTCATTTGAGTTCCTGCCATGACTCCCTTCAATGGACTGCAATGTGGAAGTATCAAGTATCAGTCAAATATTTGCCTCCCCCAACTTGCTTTTGGTCATAGGATTTCTATTGCTATGATGAAACACCAACTTGTGAGGGCACTTAGTGCAAGCAATCTTTTGAAAAACAAATGGCCTACAGTCTGCCCCTCACTGTGTGAAAGGCTATTTCACCCTTGCTCAGAAGTGGTCATGCGGAAACCTGTAGACCAAGTTAGAATTTTTATATGATGGTAACACATAGTTCTAAACCAGCCTGGGCCTGAAGTGAGACCCTTTCAGTTCAAATCTACATCCTGCCTCCTAAAGCCTTTATGATCTTAGACCATTGCTGCTTTAGAAAACTGGGCTGCACTGGTAGCATTCCTGTAGGGTTGTTAGGAAGATTGAATATGTTAAGTCATACAAACATTTTATGATAAATTTCATTCATTAGTATGCTGAGGTCTTCGTATTCCATATCTTAGAGATCTGACAGTGATAAATCTGTCACTAATTCCACTAGCAGAGAAAAGTTAATCGAACTATTTTTTTTTTTAACTGATGGGGACTGGACATATAAAAGGGGATGGAGAGCAAGCACTGTTTATTTATGTGTGGATGAAGCATTGCCTTCATCTAACCATCTACCTGGCCTCTGGAACCCTCCGTGCTCTCCCTGTACAGCTGTTATGGGGTAGTGTTGTGCTCAGCTGCCCACTGGAGCGCCCACTCTTTTCTCCTTCTTGCTAGCCCTTGGACCTTTGGAGCGCCCCTGTCATCTCTGTTGTCTTCAGCTGTGTTCTATTCTTCCCGTGCTTTCGGTTGATTCTTCTTCAGTGCATGAGGGCTGGCCATTGGTTATTCATTGGCTACAGAGAGCACCCTGGTTCTGAAGTTCTCTGAGAGACAGGGAAGCTTCTGGACTACCTTGTATGATGTAGCAATGTTACAAAGTAAACTGTTCCTCTGACCACAGATATTCTGGTTGATTATGATGAGATTTTGTAACCTGGTTACCATTTCTCTGCTACCTTTTCTGCTTCCTTTCTCATTCCTATTTCTAAACAGAATTTCTGACACTTTGGTCACCTCGTAGGATGTGCTGGGTTTTTGTTGTTGTTGTTGTTGTTGTTGTTGTTTTTAACATAAGAATTATCATTTAAGAGCTCTTGCCACAGCCTTTTGTTATGTACAACATATGTTTTATTAGATCAACATAATAAAATGTTTTATTTTATAACATTTTGCCAAGTTATTAAAGTACTGTTCCATGTTCTTTTGAAAGGAATATAAATTGATATTGTCAGGCCTTCTTGGTGAGTATAACATTACCTCATCCAACATTGTGATCTCCAAATGTGGCTGAAGCTTAATCATTATATTTTATTCTGATAGACTTGTAATTAATGAATTGGAAATGGGACAGTGTAGTCTCCCTGCTTGATGCCTCCCTCTCTTGCCTCCTTTGCCAGCCCACCAGCCTTCTTCCCACTCCTCCTTCTCACATAACATTTCCTTGGTTTTAGCCTTACCAGTACCAACAGGTTCTGCCCATAGAGCTCACCAGTATATGTGCAATGAAGGACATGAAGAAATACAGGGCTATAATAACTCATCAAGTGCTACGCTAATCTGAATGCCAGGATGTTCTCAAAATGTCTAAACTATTGCTAATGACAAGTACAGGACAAGAAGATGTGGGTATAAAAGAAGCTATATGCTGTTACAAAGAGACACATAATTGCCAAACAAAGGTTATTGGAATTATTAAAAGTTATTGGTAATAAAATTCAATATTCTAATTGTTGAGTCTGGAAAAGAAGGTAGCTTAATGTTTGAGGATTTCCTCCTCACCCCTGGTATATAACTCTCAACTCTCTCCTTTATAAAGTGGGAACATTTAAATACTGCTTTGCATACTTAAGTATTAGAGTAATAGTTATACCTTACTATGCTGACAAAAGAATACAAAAGTATAAAATTTTA